AGCCACAGATGCATTGGGGTGCTGGGTTTATAGCTTAGCGACAACAGAACTGATGGCATCACATGCATTTTCAGCAAAGGCTGAAGGTGGAATATAAACGGTTGCCAAGACAACACTGGTGAACTCTCTTAGCAAATAATATGGGCGGCAACTTACTGCCAAGAGTTCAACATCTGGGCTGCAGAGACGACATTTCACTGAAACATGACCTGGATGGCACCATCTGTTGTTGACAAGCACTGCCACTCCACCTCCTTTTCTTTTCCCTCTCCTCTTCAGATCTCTGAAGAAATACACTCCTCGATGTCTAATGGCTTTATTGACAAGGATGAAGGAGCCCTGCGGAAAGATACAAAGCTGAGTGAGCAGAAGCTAACGGCAGCATGAAGCAGCAGCATGGGCTGAAGACCGAAGCTAAGCAATGCGATAAAATTGGTAAATAAATGCAGCGTGGCTTAGCATGCATACTGACAATGTGACCATTACATTAGCTCAACCAGCAGGTGAAGACTTACAGATACAAGTCGAACAGTAGCATAGATAGACAGCAGTGTGATGGTTGAGCAGCAGCAATCCAAATGAGAAGCAGCAGTATGTTCAGTGAGGGATAGTCACATGTACATGACTTCAGGCACGTCCCTGCAGGGGATAGTCACCTGTACGTGACTTCAGGCACATCCCTGAATACACCTTTTCCCGAAGTCACATCCCTGAATACACCTTTTTCTCTCGAGGCTTGATCACAGCACACCCTAGTGGCCAGTGGTGACCTCTGCAATCTCTGTCTGCTCGTACAGTCAGGAATCCTGGCAGAGAGACGCTGGAATCAGGGATGTGGTCCTGCAGCCACGTCTCACTGAAACACATAACACTACACTGTCGATACTCTGGCGGAGTCATGAAAAGTCATGGAGTTCATCCATCTTGTTGGCCAGTGATCTCACATTGCCCATTATGATCGATGGAAGAGATGGTTTGAATTTCCTCTTTCTCTGTCTCCGTTTTGCTCCGGCTCTGCACCCACGCTTCTTGCGTTTTAGCTCATTTGGGATTTGTGGCTTCAGTTGAGGTATTATTTCAGCCTTCCCAATGTTAATCAGCTGCTCCTGATTGTAAACCAGCTTCTTGCCATGGTTATGCATCATAACAAATGCTCAAAAAGTGAAAAAAGTGAAAAAATAGCAGTAAAAAACCTCCAAGCTTCACAGCACCAGAAACAGAAAAGTAAAATGTCCAAAAAATACCGTTCGTCCCGAGAAACCAGAAGAAAAAATGGTCCTGACAATTACATCCATGCACTGTGGTCCTGTCCACCTGTCCAGGAACTTTGGGGTAGAGTATGTGAAGACCTGTCAAAGTGTCTGAAATGTCATATCCCAACTTCCCCCTCTCTTTGTTTACTGGGAAACCTGGACAATGTCCCGATTGAAACATCTTTGGTTCACGTGGTTCTGACTGCCATATGCATCGCTAAGAAAACTATCCTCATGAATTGGAAAAATAGAGATACTCTTTGCATTAACCAGTATAGAAATCTTTTGTTGGATCATATTTCACTTGATACAGCCTCTGCTTCCACTTCAAATGAATCTATCTGGGCTCCTTTGATCGGTTCCATCACATAGCAATGATCACATAGCTGCCTGGCAGCTGCATTGCCCCTGAGCAGGTCTGGGTGGGAGCCTGGGGGCTCGGGTGTGGGGGTGGCCTGCCCCGTGTGGGAATCCGGGCGGGACCTTGGGGATCGGGTCCTGATATGTATGCTTCCGGGGAGAAGGCAGGAACATGCTGCAGTGCCTGGCCCAGGCTCAGGGGCCTCAGGTAGACCTTGGCTCCTCTGCTGTTCCATCACAGGGGAGGGAGATGTCCAGGAGGGGGAGGACCCAACCCTACCTGGATGTCCTATGTCTTATATATCCTGGAAGTTGTGCAAATGCAGGGATGGGAGTAAGTATTCTGCTGGGGTGGGGCTGGGTTGGTGCCCTCGGACTCTGTGAGGCTTTGCAGTGCTGCTGCTTTGGGCTCTGGCAGGATGGGCTGGGGTCTCCATGCCGTGGGTGGCATTTTGGCAACAGAGGTGCCTATTGGGGCCAGTGGGGGAGCTGGCTCCCTGGAGGGCTTAGGCAAACCAGCCATTCCTCCCAAAGCCCACACACTTTTCTCCTCCTGCTCCCTCACATCATCACACAAACATGCACATAGGATCATGGGGGGTGGACAGGTCAGGGGGTGCGGGTATGGACCCCATTTCCGCATTCCTGTGGCAGCCTGCCCCCAACTTTATTTGCACCATAAACACTTCAACCAATGAAATTCCACGCAAACACACACGTAGGGCCTTGGGAGTGAGCACATTCTACGGCATTTGGCAAGAGGATTTTTCAGCCTCATCCCAAGTGCCGGTGCCCACTTCCAAATTTAAACTGCACTTAGACACAGAGGGCTTCAAGGGGTTTAAGATTTTTGGCATCTGCCTGATCGAAGCTAGTCTTTAAGAGTTTGATGGTGTTTTCTGCGATGCATCAGGGGGATTGTTAAAAACTTTATTGATAGTGGAAAACAGGATTTTTATTTTCTGAGATGATTTAGAAAAAGTATTCATACCTTGAGCTCCTTACTGCATTGTTGAATGACTTTAGAGTTTCTCTGTATATCTGATGGTTTATTATGATTTAGTGTTTCCTCCATTTTCTCTCTGCTGCCCTTCCTCTTTTGTGTTCTGAGAACTTCGTTTCTCCATGGGAATGTCAGTCTAGGCTGTATCTTTTTATTTTATTTTTTTTGTGGAGCCAGACGGTCAAGAGTGGATTGAAGCCTGATTGAAAAAAAAAACGTAATTGTCTTTTTGCTTTTATTATATGTAGCATGAGCTAGCTAGAAGGTGGAAAAACAAAGGAACTCAGGTCCTGGTGTTTGCTTTTTTTTTCTTTATTATTTTTATTTTTTGTTAAAAGGACACTATGCTACTTTTTCATATTTTTAAATCATTTTCTGGAGCCAGTATGTGTTAAAATGACCCTTTAACTCAGCCCCCACCACCCCTAATAGCCAGAATACCACACTTGCAACTTCAGAGTATCTGGACCACTCTCCAAAGTCACGTATCTTGTATTAACAAGTAACACTTTACGGCAGTCTATGTTTACACCTCAGGAAAGACTATCTGTATCTGGTTAGCATTTATTGAAACGTGTCAGATTGGTCTGTAGTTATTCATCACTAAGGGATCTCATTTTCTTTTCTTTAGAAGAGGCCTAACAGCAGCAGTTTTCAGTGATTTAGGAAAAATACCTGACATTAAGAAGCAATTAACTATCTTCAGTACATCAACTTTCAAGCAGCTAAAAACATAAAAGTTTGTTGGCAGGTTGTCCAGAGTAGATGAATCTATCCTATCTCCTCCAGTATTTTAGCACTAATCACATTGGAATCTGGCTTTCTAGCCAGATTGTTGTTGTGAGGCTAGCTGTGGTCATGGTTGTGTTGGGTTGACATGCAGTGCCTAAACTAATGTCTTTAGTGTTAAAGACTCAAAAATCACATGTAATACATACATAAAACCACAAGATGTCAGTGTTATACCATATTAGAAGATGGTGTAAAATGACTGATGCGAAAACAAATATATGGGAACATGGGAAACTAGAAGGCCAGTACCAGGTGTTTATAATGCAAATGCACCAGAAAAGGCTGCGGTGGAGGCACTGAATGTAAACACTTGGAAGAACACCCTAAAACTGTATTTAATCAGCAAGAAACAGGAAGGGTCTATTGTGCATCAAGAATAAAAATTTGTAGTTTAGTGCATTTATACATCATATAGAATTAAAAAACATTTTTCAGGGAGATGGTGGCACAGGAGTTAAGTGCTTGCTCTGTAACTGGAAGGTTGCAGGTTTGTGCCCTGCACAGTCTGTCGTTGTGTCCTTGGGCAAGACACTTATACCCACCTTGCTTGCTGGTGGTGTTCGGTGGGACTGGTGGCGCCTGTGTACACCAGACTCGCCTCTGTCAGTGCACCCCAGGGCAGCTGTGGCTACCACGTAGCTCATCACCACTAGGGTGTGAATGTGTGTGTGACTGATAGTGTTGGAAAGCGCCTTGGGGGTTTTCCAGGACTCTAGAAGGAGCTGCATCAAATGAAGGCCATTCAGCATAATTTGTACACTGACTGAACAAAGATGCAAACTGGTATATTAACATATTTATCATGCTTTATTAGCAAAACATGCATTCAATTACATTTGGTCATTCACTAAAAATATAATTGGTCTTACTTCAACACCAGTTACAACTTTTATATAAGATTGAACAAATGTTTAGAGTTTGTTTATTAGGAAGCTTTATAATGTTAAATCCTTCTTGACTATGAATGACTTTGAGAAGCTTATTCATGCATTTATAGCATCTCATTTAGACTACTGCAGTAGACTTTTATTAGGTGTTAATCGTGGTACAAGGCTGCAGCTAGTTCAGAGTGCTGCAGCTCGTCTCCTCCTGACTGGCACAGGTAGGTTTGACCATATCACTACAGTTCTTGCCTCTGTGCATTGGATCCCAGTTTAGTTCCATGTGCAGTTTAAGATTTAGGTTTTAGCTTACAAATGTTTGAATGGACTTGCTCCTAGTTATTTATCTGAACTCCTCGTGTCACATGTTCCATCTCGTGGATTGCATTCAGCTGATCAACATTGGTTGAGTGTACCTAGGGCAAGGCTACTTAAAAGAGGTTTTAGATTTTAGGCCCAATCCCAATACTCGCACTTGCACCCTCGCGCCCTTCAAATGCGCGTTCCCGGCCAGGGGTGCAAGTGCGTAGGGCGTTCTGATTCTCAAGTGCAGAAGTTGACCGCGCCCCCATTGCACCCTTAATCTGCACTTCATCCAAGTCCGCAGCGATGCGGATCTCGGGCAAGGGTATTACCCACAAGTCATTGCTGCAAGTTCCTTTTCTGAAAATATGTATTTTCTAATTAAATTAGCTCGTTTTAGGAAGATTAGTTGATGCTCTGAATGTTTTGGACAAAGCAGCAATGAAGTGAAATGAATTTCAAAAAATGCTTTATTGTTTGTTTGAAAGTTGTTAATAAAGGGTTTTTGACAAAAGTTTCACAGCGACCAGCATCACGGCATACGTTGCAATGCTCCCTGTCTCAATTCTGCAATTATTTGCACACTTGTGTACTACACTCTCGATCCCTACTGCTCACTTTCTCCAAGTGTACTTTGCTGAAGGCCGCAGGACGCAGAGTGAGTATTGAGATTGGGCCTTACTCTGTGGCAGCACTGTGGAATATGTTGCATATCTCCATTAGGCAGCCGTCATCTGTTGCCATTTTTAAAAAGCTGCTGAAAACTTACTTTTACTTGACAGCTTTTATTATTCCTAGTTGACATGGTAGTCCTGTTTTTATCATTTCTCATGTCTCATTTTTATGCATTGTTTTTTGATGTGTTATTGTGCTTTTACTTGACTGCTCATATATTTTTTATGTTTTTATGCGTCTATGTTCAGCACTTTGGGCAACATTGTTGCATTTAAATGTGCTATACAAATAAACGTGATTTGATTTGAAAATTTATAAAATCACAACGGTTATTTATACAAATGGAAATCCAACGTACCAAGTGTAAATCTAAACTAAACTTGTTTGGTAAACCCTGTCAAATCCCATTTGTAGGACTTTTAAAGAATTTGCTGGGGGGGCAGCAAATCCCCCAGTGTGTCAAAAGAAAAAGCAAACACACTGTGCATGTATATATGCATGCAAGAAATAATAAAGGATTCTTGGCCCTAGTTGTCATGTCCCTGGGAAGGAGTTTAACCCACGACATGAAGAATCATCACACTAGTAATCGCTTGCCCAATCTCAATACTTGCACTGCGCCCTGCGGTCTTCAGCAAAGTGCACTTGGAGAAAGAGGGCTGTGAGGCTTAGAGTGCGTAGTACACAAATGTGCGAATAATTGCCAAATTGGACAGGGAGCATTGTGTCATCGATGCTGGTCGCTGTGATACTTTTTTCTAAAACCTTTATTGACAACTTTCAAACAAACAACCAAACAATTATATGAAATAAATTTACATTCATTGTTGCTTTGTCTGAAAGTTTCCGAGCATCAACTAACCATCCTAAAATGAACTACTTTCAGTAGAAAATACATGTTTTCAGAAAAGGAACTTGAGCCTTTTCTCCCGCAGGAATGGATTGTGGGTAATACCCTTCACCTAAGTCCGCATCAATGCAGACTTGGGTGAAGTGCGGATCAAGGGTGCAAACGTGGTGCGATCAACTTCCGCGCCTGAGAATCTGGACTGAAATCGGGATTGAAAAGGTTGCGCCTCTGCCCTCCATGTGACAGATCTGCGACCCGCGGGTGTGCCAAACCGTAGAGAGAGTTCCTTATGGATCACAGAACAATGATGATCTGTTGCACCCCTAGTGGGTAGTACATAAGAAACTGTCCAAAATAGACGATTCAGTATCCATTTTTATAGCAAAGTGGGAGGTGGACGTATCATTCAGCTTTGACCAGAACTTCTGGTCTCAGACTTGTCTAAAAACCTTTAAGTTGACCAGGAACCCCAATTCACAATTAATGTAATACAAATTTCTGCACAGAGTACATTATACAGGTCATTGGATGTTCAGAAAGGGTTCTGATGATGCTTGCTTAGTATGAGGATTGTTGTAAAGACACTGACACTAGTCAGTGACTTGATGCAATTTGTTGGGTTCCTTATATAGGAAACTTTTTTCTGATTGGCTTAATGAACTGACCTGTATTGGAATGTTTTTTATGTGATGTGCCTTGAGACGACTCTTGTCGTGATTTGTTGCTTTATAAATAAACTTGAAATTAATTGAATTGAATGATAAAAAGAGAGATCATATCTCTCCTGTCTTAGCTTCTCTACATTGGCTACCTGTTAAATTCAGAATAGATTTTAAGATCCTTCTTCTCACATATAAAGCTCTTAATAATCAAGCTCCATCATACATCAGTAATCTGATTGTTCCATACGTTCCTAACCGAGCACTTCGCTCTCAGACTGCAGGTTTACTGGTGGTTCCCAGAATATCTAAACTTAGGATGGGATCTTTTAGCTATCAGGCTCCTCTCCTGTGGAACCTGCTCCCAGCTTTAGTCCGTGAGGCAGACACCTTGTCTACTTTTAAGAATAGGTTTAAAACATTTTTATTTGATAGGGCCTATGGTTAAAATCTGATGTTAGCCTAGATCTGGACCAGTGGGGGAGTAGAGGGAGGTGGAGTGTACAGTCGGTAAAGACGGCTCTCCCTTGCCCTGCCTCCAACATGCCTCCATCTAAAAGGCTAGGTTTCCAGAGTTATCTCTGTAGTTATGCTGCTATAGGCTTAGACTGCTGGAGGACACACTGAACACTTTTACACTCTGTTACCTTCTTCTCCCACTACTCTCTAAGTGCATTATTTCCTGTTTTTTGAGCTGTTAACTTTATTTTATCACTAAGTGCTACACTGGTGTTCTGCTGAGCTGTGATAGCCTCCTGGATGGGGGCATCAGCCACTGCTGACAACCACTAGACATTCTCCTTTTCCTGATAATACCTTCTTATTTTCTCTAACATAGAAGTAGTACGACTATTTCACCAGCTTATTGTGTGTGTGTGTGCTGTAGCAGTCACAAGCATGCCCCTCCTGCCACATCTGTTTGTTGTTGTGTTCCCAGCAGAGGTTTTATCTGAAGTATCTCGGAGCTAAGTGCATTACTGCGGCCCATCTCCATGCAGCAGATAAGCAGCCTGTGCTGCTTACAGAACAATCAGATTTGCATCAAGGTCTCAGGGCACTTTTATAGACTGTCCTAGGTTCCCAGTGGAGTAATAGTGCCTTTCAAAAGTATTACACATTTTGACACCTTTAAACACAAACATAGATGTTTTATTGTGATTTTTTGTGATAGACCAACACAAAGTAGGACACTGATGCATGGTTTTCAAAAATGTAAGCAAATAAAAATCTAAAAAGTCTGGAGTTCAACCCCGTTGCATCAATATTTGGTAGAGCCACCTTTGGCTGCAACAGCTGCAAGTCTTTAGGGTGTGTTTCTAGCGTTGAACATCTTAAATGTACATCAGAGACTGATATTTTTACCCATTCTTCTCCTACAAACAGGGTGGTCAGCAGTGCTACTTTTCCTTTGCATTTAGACCCAAAAGTTCTACACCCCGTGTCTAACGAGCGATGGCTCCGCCATCTTGGATGGATTGAACCCCCCCCCCCCCCCCCCCTTGACAAAGGCATTGAATTGTCAGCATGTAAATCTACCATAACTCGCAGAATTCTGAACCGATTTTGATGCATTTTCCCCCCTGCAAACTTCACACATGTAGCTCTGACACAGGAACGTGTTTTAGCATTTTCAATATTAGTGGGTTTGCTGTGGGTACTTATGTGACTCTTGTCCAGAGCTTAGTGTCAAAACTTATAGAAAAAAGGATCAAAATCTAAAAATCTGTCAAACAATGACAATCAAAATAATAAAAACTGTACATACAACAGGTGTGAGATCTATGGCAGGTATGTTTAAAAAAACACACTTAATACATGATAGAGAAGCAGAAATAACTACTCAGCCGATTTCATAAACAATATGTACAATATAATTCTTATAGATAACAATAGAAGTTTTTGTGTAATTCACATACATAGAGTGTCAATATCATTCAGAGAGAAGGTGAGAGAGAACAACTAGAACAAAGTCTGGTTGACAAGAACACGACAAACCATCCATCAGAACTGGCTGCTGGTGATGTTCTGGTTCTGTTGGGTTTTTGTCTCACTCTCTTCCTGCAGATCTAGAAGCTGCTTCTTGTTCATCCTTTGTTGTTAATTTTTGTGAACTCTCCCTCATCTCTTCTTTTCCTTTCCCACGTTCTCTTTCATTTCCGTCGTCGTGTCCTTTGGGATTAAAAACAACCAAAAGCATCTCTAATAAAGTTTACATATCAGGTGGAGGATTACAGCTGAATCTGTAACACTCTACCTGTGAGAGTAAAACTGAAGCTTGTTTTCGCTACTCAGACGTCAGTTCTGGTTGCTTTACAGCCAGACAGGACACGGGGGAGAGAGAGAGAAAAGGACTGACTGCTTAAAGGAGTTAATTTTATTCGTTTTGTCTTAATTTATCTGTTACTTGTGTTGAGAAGTTTTTAAAATAGTAATTGAAAGCTTTCCATGAGCTAAAACCCCTGACAGAGGACTGCTTTGTAGAACTTTTATCTGGAGCTCCTCTTCTGCAGTAAGAGAGGTGAGATTGGCCATGTGGGGCTGTCTTCTCTTCAGAACCACCGACTTGACCAATAACATCACGTCTGATGGCTGTGGCGTCAGCATGAGTGCTGCACATCTGTGTTGAGCCTGGCCTAAGAAGACCAGGCTCATCAACCACCAACCACAGCCTCCTGTAAAAGAATAGAAACATATTTAAAGAGCAAGTCACCCCCTACAAGAAACTTACTTCACTCCCTCTTCATGTTTGAAAAATGCAACAAATGCTGTTGCCTAGCAGACCGAGAGGGCGGAGCTGCTAACAAATACACACACACACAGGCTCACAACAGCATTGTGACATCATAATGTACCAGTTTACATCATAGCATACCTCTTAGCCAATAGCGGTGGCAGATTTAAATTAGAATACAGTGCAGAGTTTTTACCTGACAGCGGCACAACACTGACAGTTTTAGGCAGAATATTTCAATTTTAACTAAGATGCACTGAAGTATCAAATTATTGACGACACGTGTCTACAGCACAATTAGTTCCACATTTATATAGTTTATCAGCAAGAAAAAGTTGATTTGGGGGTGACTTGCTCTTTAAATGTTCATTATAGAAATGAAGTAAAAATGGCATCCTGTGGTAAAAAGTGGTTACTGCAACCACTTTAAACAACGCCGGAAGTTTTTGCCAGCTGTCGTCAAATTACAGCTGTGGGTGCTGCAGAATTGGCTAACAGGAGACGGCTCAGGCATCCCGTTCACTGCTGCTGTTATGGTTTTTGTCTGCCGGAAGCTCGACCGATCTAAGATGGTGACCGTATTTCCTGTGCCCGAGCTGCCAGTAGGGGGTCTATCAATATATGTGTCAGTGCCTACATGGCTCCTGGCAAACAGGACTTTTTATGCCTTTTTGTCAGCACTCTTCCATGTAGGCCAGACTCGTGGAGGACACGACTTACATTAGTCCTGTGGACAGATTGTCCCACCTGAGCTGTGGATTTCTGCAGCTCTTCCAGACGGACCATGGTCCTCTTAGAAGCTTCTCTGACCAAAGCTCTCCTTGCTCGAGCTGTTCGGTTAGATGGACGGCTGTGTCTTGGTAGGACTGCAGTTGTTGCGTACTTTTCCATGTTTGGATGAAGGACTAAACTGTGCTTCTTGAGATGTTCAAAGCTTGGGATATTTTTATAGCCCAACCCTGCAGCTTTGACCTATACCTGCCAGAGAACAGCTGTATTTGTGATGAGTCTAACTCATCACAGGTGAACGCTACTATCTAATGAGGTTCCATCTGAAAGCAGTTGATAGCTCTGGATTTTGTCTAGGGGTGTCAGAGGACAAGGAGCTGAGTACAAACGCTCGCCACACTTTTCAAATTTTTAACAGCTTCAATTGTGAAAACCATCACTTTCTTTCCACTTCACAATTATGTGAAACTTTGTGTTGGTCTATCACAGAAAATCTCAACGAAAAAATGTAAATTTGTGTTTGTGTCAAGGCGTGAACACTTTTGCAAGGCACTGTAGCATAAGGTTGAATTTATGTGGCATTTATTTCCTGCCTTTTCCAGGTGGTTGCTATGTTACTTTGCCTCATTCACATCAACACCTTTTATTGCTACGACTGAGGGCAAACAAGAGGGCCCTTTGTGTACTGGCGCTGTAATTTCCCTCAAGAGATGGAGAGTGTTGGTTGGTTGACGAGTGAATGTGAAGTTAATGAAAGTGTTTCACTTTCTGGTTTGACTCATGTAATCCTGATGTTTGAAAAAGCAGCAGGGGCCTAAACCTGAAGCTGTTCTGCATGGGGATGTAAATAAAAAGATCCAATTTTAATACATTTCTGTCAGAAACGGCAAGTTAAAGCTACCAAAATGAAAAGGCAAAGACCGATAACCGATTTTGTAATTTAGTGACCATCACATTGTAGCGTCCAGAAATGGTCAGTTTTTCATCTACAGCAGGGGAGTCAAACTCAAACTCACAAGGGGCCGAAATGAAACTCTGGGACGAAGTCGCGGGACAAACTTAATATTTTTGAAAAAGTGACGGCAAAGTTGCACATTTTCTTTATCAACATGTATGCAACTTTGAACCTTTTAATTTGGAAACACACTTATTTCTGCATTAACACTGAATGTGGAATAACCAAATTACACACGAGCAAGTCAGTTTTAAATAAAAGGCATCAGTGGTATTCATTACTTGTGGTATAATCAACATTTTATAAATCTATTCAGGGTTTGTGTTTTCTTGTTTATTAATTTTTCTTATTTTTTATTCTCCTTTTTTTCTCCTGTAATAAGTGTCATCGCTGCTGTGACGTCTAGCTTTCCCCACTGAGGAACAATAAAGGGATTTTCTATTCTATTCATCTATCTGCAGCCTTTCCACTTCCTGTTTACTGTAGGTTAAATCTTTTCTCACGGGCCAACAACAAAATAAAAATATCATTTTATCTTAAATGAAAATGCAACATCTCACCTGTTAACTTTCATGTTTTGGAGCAGAAAAAGAGCATAAAACCAACATATTTAAAGCTCAGTTTGCTCCACTGGTTTACTGTGATGCTCACCTGTTCCAGCCAGATACCTGCATCATGGGGTTGATCTGAGCTGAGGAGGAGACTCCTGTTGTTTTGTTCATCTTCATCATAATAATGACAACATTAGATGACAACAGGTGCTCACATAGGTTTGTGCTGATGAACATGTCTGAGCAGCTTGACCGCGTTGTTGTGTGTCGGGGAGGAAACACGACAGCAACCACAGAGTCATGCTGGTTTGAGCGTGTCGCTGCTCGCTGGAGTTATATCAGCTCTGTCTGGACGTTAGTTGGAAAACTTTCTCTTTCAGTCGTGAACACATTACTGAGCGGCTAGAATTTCCGTTTCTGGGCTTCAATGTCAGAAAATAGCTGAGTGAACTCGGCGCTGAGTGAGAGGAGTGTAGTTTGTCCGAGACAGCGGGGCTGCAGAGACCGGCAGCAGGCGCTGGAAAAAACACAATGGAGGGGGCGCGTCGGCTCCGCGCTGACGCCGCAAAGCATCATGGGAGTGGAAGTCTTTGCGGTAAAATCGGCCAGCGGGCCAGTTTTAATATATTTTTGATATTTATCTCGCGGGCCACATAAAAATACTCCGCGGGCTGCATCTGGCCTGCGGGCCTTGTGTCTGACACGTGATCTACAGTTTGACCTCTTCAGTATCCGGTCATATGGAGACATAAGTCTTAACTGGTGCCTTTAATCTGCAAGAAAGATTCGACGCTGCATGTTTACACCCAGATTGTTAACATCATGTTCCCTTCCCAAGGTTCTTCTACGCCGAGTTGCTCTTATCTATCCCTTGTTTCACAGAAGAAGAATGAACATTTATAATAATGAACTGTTATAAATAATGAAGTGTTAAAATAATAATGAAAAGAACAATATAGTTAAATGGAATACTTAAATAATCATATAATGAATGGACAATGTGGTTAAATGAAATGTTTTGATTAATTTGTGCTTAGATTAATAAGGATGAAATGAAATATATGACCCATACATTTATTCAGCGTACGTGACCGGACAGCTCACACACTCATACACATGACGATGACAAGGTTAAAGTAATCTCATGACACATTGTTTTCTGATCCACAAATCAGAGCTCCTGTATCTGAGCAGGGTGTGTTCTGAGGTTTGTTTGTTAACACCTCTTAACCTCTTTTGACCTGATTGGCCACAATCATAATATGAGAATTATTAAAACAATCACTTCTCGAGTTGATTCAGTGCTTTTTGAGCAGAGCTTCGGACCGGCCAGCCGGAGCAAAACTCTTGAACCACCGCATCTTTTGACAAGCTGTCAAAACCTGTTGCATGCTGCCGCTGAAACAGCAAAACGGTTCCTTCAGAACAAAGCTGACACAGCCAAGACTCCTTCAGAGTCCATCCGTTCGAGACGCAAAACAAGTCCACCTGTTTGACGACTCTGGACTGACCTGGTCATACTTCGGTTTTTCTACGAACTTCGGTACCTTGGGGTAACCCGACCTCCTCGACATCTTGGATCCAAAAGAGAGTCTCCGAAAAGGGTGCGTAGACACGACAAGATTGCGTCTGATGCTGTTTTACAAACCATCCCTCCTAGTTTATAGCAGACCAAATTCAATCACACTCAGAACTCAGTTTCTTCCAGATATAAGGTTCTGATAAACACCACAATCACACATCACATTACGCTACATCATACACTCATCACCTCATAGCTTCCTCGTTGTCTTGTTTTCTAATTTGTTCAGAAAATAAATGTCTTTTTATATACCTGACTTTGTCTGAATTAATATGAAGTGTACTTACTGTCATGATGAGGGGAAGGTGTCTGACCCACGGCATGCAGAATCATGCACAGAGATCGGATGTTATAAGAAACAAGGTTAATTATAGAAATGTAAACATAAAGGGCAGTAGGAGAATCCAGCTGGGACTCCGGGGAGGAATCTAGAGCCAGGGAGGGAGAGTTAGCGGAAGTGGATGACCAGGAATATTGAGGTAAAGGTCGGGACTTACGGTTCGTGATCCAGGGGAAACATAAGAGGGGAGAGTAGCTTGGTCTGGGGAGGTCCGGGAGGCGTGGGGAAACAGAGACACACACTTGCCGGTTAACAGGAGATTGGGGTTTCAGGTTGCTGGCAGACTGGAGGAGCTGAGCACGGGAGCAAGGACTGTCACGGTCCGTGGTGAGCTTCCTGCACGTAACCTATCTTCTCTGAGCATTGTTTTCAGGTGGGCGTGTCTGAGAGTCTCCAGCTGCAGCTAATCCTGTCATTACGGTCCAGGGGATTTAAGGAGCAGTGTGACACTTCATTTCGCCGGATGATTACTCTGTTTTGGGTAGCCTTTAACCTGTCTTGATCCCGTGTTTCTTTCTAGTTCCGATTCGCTTACCTGTGCTTATGAAGTTCTGCTTGATTTCCTGTCGCCAGAGAAAACCCTGATTATCCTTCCCTGCTCTGCTCCAGGTTTCTCTCCACACTCCACCACCTCCATAACCAATTCGGACTCCTGCAATCCAGATCACGCTGTCTCCTCCCCTGGCCGCTCGCTCTCAGCCGCTCACCTGCCTTCACCAAACCGTTGCTCCTACCTCCTCTCTGGACCAACAGTTCCATCACCTTCTGGAGCCTTCCTGCTCACCCGGACCTGACCTAATCCCTCCGGAAGATCTCACCACTAGCTGCAATCAGTAAGCTCCACTCCCAATATCATTCTACGTCATTCCCTCCATATACTCACTCTGTCTCCCTCCTCAGAATTCCATCCTGGAATCTTGCTGCCAGCCTGCCCGTCGTCTGTTCCCGTTCCTATCATTGTTCTTCAGTAGATAATAAAATCGTTTTACTTACTTGCCGGTTCCTGTGTGGTGATTCTGCATGTCGTGGGCCAAAAGACTGCCGCCCACCATGACAAGGACAGGATCCGGTAAGGTGGGTTGTCAAGGAGGAGTGGACGGCCAGGTACCAGCTGGGAGACAGTGGAACGGGTCCGGTGGGGTTGCAGGTACGTGGTGGAAGGTGGTGGTGGAAATTTGGAGAGAAGGCAGGTTGTAAAATCAAGCCGGCTCGGAACAAACATACAAAAACTTGGAATTCAGGCTAGAAGCTAGACTCAGAAGATCTCTGATACAGATACTCGAAAACAGGCTCAGAGACATAGATACCCAAGTTGAGCTAATCATCCAGCCAAGTGAAGATGTCTCCCAGCAGCTTATATGTCCCCGGCCCGCTGATGAGCAGATGGACTGCAGCTGGTCCACTCCCTGACACGCCCACCTGCAGGAGAAGCTCAGAGAATGTTTAGACTGAGAGGAGGACTCCCCCCAGACCATGACACTTATGGTCCCTGAATAAACAAAGAATCCTAATTCTTCTGGTTAAACCCTTTAAGACCAATCAGGTTGGATTTCCATATTTATATCGAAATTCACATCTCATTGGCCAAATGTAGTGTAGTATGTTGAGCTTAAAAAGCACCCAAAATACATACGTAGATTACACGAAGAGTGAGACATGCACATGTCGCACCCCGCTGCTCTGTCCTGTATTTAACTTACTCTGACTGCTGAGGTGTCTTTCTGGGTTCAGTGATGTCTGGTAGAGAGCTCGCAGGTTTACATAAGCTGGATGAATCACTTATTCCTCTGAATACCCAATGCACCATTAGCAGTATTGATTAACTATAAATAATCACAGCTCACCTTTTAATTAGTCTACAGATAATCAGATGCTGATATGAAGATCAACATGCTTCAAAACGGATGAACTTGTAGATCTGTTGTGTGCATCTGTACCACACAATGTGAACTTGAAAGTTTGATTGTTGGCTTGGTGGTCTGTTAGCATCTCTCAGTGTTGGCGAACTGCGCCACAGTTTGCTCTCGAGCAGAGATTCACATTTTCAGAGTTGGGAGGTTCTTTCACAGGGCTGGCAGCTCTCATACACGTATTGCACGTATCGCACTACCTGCACACGCTCTCACGCCACATCTCCAGCTTCTCATTCATAAAGAGCAATAGTCCACCTGACACAAGCACATATTTTACATATTTATCAGTTTTAACAGCTGTCTCTTTTTTAGCAGTGAACTTCCTCCAGCAGACTCACTAACATCACTCCTGAGGGCTGGAAAAAGCGCCCCTAAACTGCCAATCATGTTAGTTTTCTCAAGAGAACTGGAGACTGTCACCAGATTTATTATCTCAAGGGATCTGGTCGATAGTGGCCCTGCTTCAGGAAACAGCTAGCTAGCATGCTAGCCGGTGTTGGTTCTCTTTTACCCTTACTCTCTCACTCCCTGGGTGTTTCTCAATGTCAAGGCGCCTGGCCTCGCAAGGCGATGTCTTGCGAGGCCAGATGCCTTGCTTACGAGGACACCGTCCTTCCTTGGTCAAAGAAAACAGTAAAATTGAACAGACTTACATCCCGTGCCCTTACCAAAAAGAAGTACACTGAAGTATACTTGAAGTATACTAAAAATGAATACAGTATACTTCCAAGTTTACTTTCAATGTACTTATCAGAAGTATAGTTATCCGAGTACATTTTTTAAATACTACTAAGTATACTTTAATACATACTTACATTAAAGTTTACTTACATTTAGACTATACTTGTACTTGACTCTATCAGAAGTATATTTCAACAAGTAATGTGTAAGTATACTTAATATATATATATATATATATATATATATATATATATATATATATATATATATACTTATATAATATAATAAATATCTAAGTATCTATATAATATATATATACTTATATATAATATCTAAGTATATATATATATATATACTTATATATTATATATATATAAGTATATATATATATACACTTATATATATAAGTGTATATATATATATACACTTATATATATAATATATAAGTATATATATATATATATATATATATATATATATATATATATATACTTATATAATACTTATATATAATATAAGTATACATATATATATATATATATATATATATATATATATATATATATATATATATATATATATATATATATATATATATATATATTTGGAACTTTTTATTTTTGAATTAGAACAACAACATTTACATGGAGATGCATTTGAGTTTCTTCTTCCCTTCTCCAGGGCAGTGTTTCCCTGAACAAAGTTTGAATTTCCTTGTGGCCATAAGATCTATCCAACTTAACCAAGTCACCAATCAGTACATATAGTTCTGACAAGCTTTCTCTGTATTCATCTTATCTGCTCTCTACTACATTCTACATTTTACTTTGATCTAGCTAAATAACTCACCCAAAAGACAAAAATACATAAATAAATAAAAAATAAAAATTAATAATAATAATTTTCACATGAGAGTACTATCTTTCTAACATTTGTTTTATTGGTTCCCAAATTTTACAAATTTCCCTAGTCCCAGTCATAGTCTTGCATTAATTTGTTCCATTTTGTAGACCTGTCTAACTCTGTCTCTCCACTGTGCCACCCTTGGGGGTTCTGTGTCCAGCCATAAAACTATAATACACTTCTTGGCAGTCATAAGCAGAATTCTGATTACGTATGTCTCCATTATGTGTGTGTGATTTTTGGTACAGCATTCCCAGTACAAACCATTTTAACTTAAATTGTAATTTCACCTTCAAGGTTCTTTCAATTTCTCCCTAACACCTTCCCAGAATGGTATGAATTTAGGGCAGTCCAAAAGTATATGTGAAAAGTCTCCCACTAGCCCGCATTTTCTCCAACATAAATTTGGAACATTACTATTTAGACATGATAAGTGGAGTTTTAAAGCATGCATCTTCACCTTCCATTCAAATTCCCTCCAAGACGGACTATTAGTTAATGGCCTGCTTCAAGTGTTTCCTCCCATTCCTCATCTGTTATCATTATGTTCACTTCCAGTTCCCATTTTTCTTTAATATCTATATTCTTAACAATCAAATCCTGTTGTAAAGCTTTATATGTTTTGAAATCAGTCCTTTTTGACATGTCCTTTCTGTTTAACATAATCACTTCCTCCATATTAAGTTTATCCTTGCTTGAAACTTTGCCTTATTTTGAAATAACTACTCTGTCTGTCTGTCCTAAATAACATATTAAGCATGAAATTACGAATTATTGTGAAATTACACGCACAGGAAGTGCTTTTATTTTGTAGCATTTGCTCAGTCAGCTCTCGAAGGCGAAGCTTCTCAGCAGACCGAGAAGAAGAGCGAGGGTCGGAGGTGCATTAACCGTCGGAGGTCGCGCTTCTGTTCTGCATCTGCACTTGACAGTCACTCGTTCTGCACCACTGAGCTAAATGTAAGTAGCCGCCATAAAAGTTGCTTAAATGTTGTAAATGTTTTTAAGACGGACATGGTGAGTAATGTTGGCCACGTAGCAAGCTAATATGCTAAGTCATTGCATGAGTTAGCTGTGTTATTAACTTTGTGTGCGACTAAAGTCCGTTTATTAAATTAAATGAGCAGCACTATCTCATTATTAAAGGTTAGCATTACTTTAGATACTTTTTTATTAGACTTCTAGAGACTTATTCCCTCCATTTTTGTCCCCTCCATTGTAGTTTTTTAAACGTGACTTCTGAGAAAAAAATAAAAGCGGGAGCTCAGCGCCACCAAGTCAAACTTAAACGTCCACTTATTAAAAGTAAATGAGCAGTGGTCTCTTGTACAGCGATGAAAAAATCAGTCTGTGTTGTAAACTATTTCCCCGTAGCACCCGTGCGATAGCTTTGCAAGCAGCCTGGTTTTTTAACCGTAGAAGAGGATTGTGACTGCAAGAGACGAAGCGGTGCTGATCTCGATGCTATGTTCCCTCCTTCCCTCCATTTTTGTCCCCTCCATAGTTTTTTTAAAAGGTGATGTTCTGAGGACAAAAAAAAAAACGGTAAGTTCAGTTAGCTCGCGGGAGTTTGTCAGTTTTTGTGAAAAGTTTTATTTAATACACGCATAGACATACAAATTTTGTTAATGTTTTTATCATCAAATTAAATAGTGCTCAGTTGCACATATCTTGAATGCAGAACGCTGTTTCTATTAATTTCACAGTATTTTAGTGTTGTAATTTTGTCCTTACTGTACACTGTTACTCCAGATTCTTTTCTTTAAATGTTATGTTTTTAGCTTTGTGTGGATAAGTCAAATTACACTTGAATCTCCTCACACACACACACACACACACACACACACACACACACACACACACACACACACACACACACACATATATATATAATTTAGATGATTTAGCTTCATATATAGTGGAGGACTGCCTAAATTTTGCAGACTAACACAGATCTACCTTGTGATTCACAATGTTTGTTTTCTCTACTGATTATGCTTCCTGGTGTAGATGTGCATTCCTATGAGCTGTCAGCCACATCGGGAAGCCTGTCTATGAATCTGCAGTCAGACTTCACTGATCCAACCCCACTCTCTGCACACAAGATTGATGGCATGCTGCTGTTGACCCCCAAGAGGTTCATACAAGTGAGACCACTGGTGAGTAATTCTCACAATCTGCATTTTTGATGGCGCATCCTAAATAACATGACTATATATGTATGTATGTATGTATATATGTATACAGATTAGGGCTGTCGCGGTTGAGGAATTCCCCCTGCGGTGAGTCAGGGCAGCTCAATATTGCGGTATGCGATATTATTGCACCCCGTTTTTATTTATGTACTTAGCAAATTTGTTTGTTGATTACTAAACTCATGTCAATATTTCCTTTGAAACATTGTGCTTACATATTTAAAAAATGTTAGAAAAAATACGTGGCCATTTTTAACACTTTATTGAATGCAGATCGAAGGGCAGTTACGGCATTTTCTGACTGAACTTAAAAACAACATTCAGGAGGTTTAACTTTGAAATGCAAATTTGGCTGCAACATATAACAGAAATAAAAAAGTGCCCGTTTTGTTTTGTAGTTTAAAATAAAGTATACAAAATGAGATGTCCTAGGCACTGTCATTTCACTTTCACACACAAGAATAACATAACTCGGTCATGTCCTTGTTATGCGCAAGGAAAACCAGCATGTTAACCTTATGCGGTTTGAGAGGGGTGACAACATTTCCAGCGACACTAAAAACCCTCTCGGATGGTGCGCTTGTTGCGCAAATACACACGTACTTACGTGCGACTTTGGAGAGCAATAGAAATCTCCCATGTTTGTTGCGCCACCATGTCAGAGGGTTTTCATTAGGGTCAATGGGTTCCTCCTGCAGGTAGCAAGTGAGCTCCAGCTCGGCTCTAACTCTCTTCGGGACGGTTACAGATGACGTGCTTGTCCGTGACTTCAGCAGGTCTCCAAGCGTTTTTTTCTTTGCCGCTGGTGGCAGCACTGCCTGCTCCAAGGTCTCTGGCTGGGCTGCAGCTGACGCACTGACACCGCTCCCTCCATCTTCCATGTGTACTATCTCCTCAATCAGCACGGACTTTACCTCTCAGCATGCGCTGTCGCGAGATTTAATCAAGTGCGGTAATGGCGGTGGCACGTCCTGCAGCGCGGTGGGTTTCTTAATATCGCGATATTTTCTTCTTGCGGTTACCGCGACAGCCCTAATACAGATTTGTCTTTTAAAACTGGTGAACATACAATTTACAGGTAATGCCTTTATGCTATGAGTATTAGAGCCACTGATGGAAAAAAATGTAGAATTCTGAGAAAATAAGTCATAAATCTGAGTTTAATCTCAGAGTTCTGACTGGTACCTAAAACAAAAAAAGGGAAATTGGGGAAGATTATGAGGGGGGATCAGAATTCTGACTTAAATCTTAAAATTCAGGCTTTTTTTTTGTTCGTTTGTTTTGATTTTTTTTAACAAAAAAAATTCCTAAATAGTTTTTTGTTTGTTTGGTTTTAGGTTCATGAAAAAAGTCAGAATTCTGACTTTAATCCCAGAATTTTGAAATTATCTGACTTTTTTTCTCAATTCTTTTCTTTTTCTTCAGTTACTCTAATACTCTTAGGCAATAAGGCAGTATTAGGGCCACTGAAGGAAACAATTGAATACTGAGATAAATGTCAGAGTTCTGACTTTATTTATTTTAAGAATTTTTTCTTCTTCAGTGGCCCTAATACCCCTCCGTATTATGTAATGTTAAACAATTCAAATTAACTTTTGAATTCAGCAGTTTATCATTGGATTTAGATGCAGATATCACTGTCTTGGAAAATTGGTCAGAGCAGTTTGGCATTAAGTAAAAACTTGACAGTATTTACACTCTTAATAATCTTTTTAGGAATTACATGATGTCCACACAAGGCGTACCACTGTTCTCCATGCCCTTCCTGTCTATCTACGTGAGGAAACCTCTGGATTTTTGAGGACATGTGTGGTAAGTCCCAGTATTGTAAATTTGAACAAATCATTCTATTTATTTATGCATAAAGACAACACAAGGACAACGCACATGAACATTTTGGAAAATGTGCCATTGTTTCAACTACAAACCTTCGGCAAGATGTTTAAGCCTGCCACACACGAGAGCAATCAGCTGAGCAAACGGCCTCGAATGACTGTTTGCTCAGCAGATTGCTCGCCATGTGCGCCTGATTTTCACTGAGTTTTCTGCCTCACGAGACGCTGAGGTGAATATCTGACCAGTTAGATAT